CCCCCCCCCCCGGCTACTCTTCTAATCCCCCTCTAAATACAAAGTAAAGTAATAGAAGAACGTCAACCCTCGAATTCGCTCTTCTTTCTTTCCCTCTACTCCTCCCCTATAACACCAATCCACACTCCACCCCCAAAATCCACAACCTACAACCTAACTCAAGCCCCTACCTACATGAAAGAAAAGAACTAACTACACACTCGAGATACAAAACCAACCAACCAACCCCTCCCCCTGTCCCCGCCCCCAAAAAAGAAATAAGCAACAAAAAAAAAANAAAAAAAAAACACTACCCATCCATCTATAATACCAAGTAGTACCTACCTTCGCAGTAGAGTAAAAAAACAGACCTAACACTAACTATAACTACAACCTATAACCCCTTCATAAAACCACACTCTTTTTCACAAATCTCATAAACAGAAACAAAGCACCAACACAAAAAACCACATAAATTATAATATAATATAATAATTCTATTCATTCATATAACAACCCCCTAAAAAACAACAAAACGCCGCATTCCGCTATGCAATTAGATGAATGATACAAGTAGAGTAGCAGTTACAACCTCCCTCCCCTACAGCCACAGTATACATATGTGTGCGCTTTAATCTCGATCAATCAAATCAAATCAATCCATCGGAAGGAGACAAAAAAAAAGCAACGTAGAAAAAACATAAACACTTGGAATGGTAATTAACGCCTTCTATATCTTTTGACGCATTATCTTCGTATCACTTCTCGTATTCCTAGGCGAGGGTTTCGAGAGCAAATCAATAACAAAACACAAAACACGGCTCGCTCGAAATTTGTACAGGGTATGTAAATGTAATCTTGAATCTCCATCCTTAAACCACACACTAGGCCGTGCAACCATTAACTAGTGTATTTTTCGGCCAGGTGTAATTGGTTTCACTCCTACAAAATGGTTAGAACGGTTTCACATCAGCTAAGTGGGTTAGACATACCATAAGGACAAATTCTGGTTATTATATACTTCCTTGTGCTTCTCAATATATGGAGTGGTAGGATATCCCGGAGGATCACAAGTAACGGAAATATCATTGGGGTCTTGATAGATTCGAATATAGTCCAATCTCATGGTGGCGGGCATCGCTTCGGCCAAATTGGGCAAGAAAACTTGGGCGAAACTGTTCGACATACCAAAATTGGCAATGATGGTCATGGGCTCTTCGGGAATCACTCGTTTTCCAACGTTTCCGTTAGGTCGTAAAGATCGTGCATCCGCCATCCACACGTACTCATCTCCAACGAACCAGTCGACGTATCCTGTATCTCCCCTCGCGTATTCAAATCCATACTTTTGATAAGCCTTGCCATCATACCAATCATTGTTGAGCCACGTTACGGCGGACAGAGCCTCTTGGTAAACACCTCCACGATAGATATTCATTCCTGTAATCTGGTGGTCATAAATCTCCATATAATCGTAATCCGGTTGATACCAAATGTCGAATGGAGCGATTTGTAAGGATTGAGAAACCGTTCCCGTCGCCCGGTCAAATTCCCCCGGACCAATAAAACCAGAACTAGCTTCAAGTACATCAATTTCTGGGGCGGATCGAGATTTACCAGGCGAAGGGTGATCCTCGCCTGCGCAAGTACATGCTGGTAATCTCATTCCTGGCAATAAACTCAATCCACCTGGGTCACTTTGATTTGCAGTGATACCAGCGTCACATACATCATCGTAACTGTATGGCCATAATCCATCCGTGGTCGCAGGATATCCAGGTCTTCCGAGATTTCCCATAGCCCAAAAACCTGGCCAGAAACCTTGGTGATCACCTTGACCGGGAAGGGAGATACTTGCTTCCAATCTACCTCCCTTGAAACATAGCTTATTCCATGATTGCAACATGCCCGATCGGTAATTGAGGTTGTGACTCTGGAAAGCGTCCATCTTCAAGTTGAGTTTCCCGTTGGCAGTAGAGGCCGCATCTGGATCATACCATTCAATATCCTGGGTGACACCATACCAAATGTCCACAGCTTGAAAGTAAGGGTCATCGCCATCGTAAAAGGTTCGCCCATCCGTATTGAATTCGTCCGAAAATACCAATTGAAGTGTCTTTCCATATTTGTCCTTGACAGTCATTGCGTCCGCTGGGGTGTCGGGATCAATCAGGGTCATCTTGATATTTTTAATGGCGGGGGCCTGGTCCGTAATACACATTGGGTCACCAGCGCAGCCGGTTGGCACTGCTGCGGTGAGGTTTCGCGCAAAGGTTCTAATTAAAGTTAGCAGAGAAAAGTGAGATCTGACACTACCATTGAGCACATACAATGCCGGATATCCCACAAACAACATCAACACCCCAAGGGTGATGAAAAGTAAACCTCCCACATTGGTCATTCCTCTCTTGGTCCATATATCGCACTTTTCTCGGTCTGATTCATTGGGGTCCGGATTGTGCAGATAATCGTCCTTTTCGACATCTTCGGGAAATAATAACAGGCCCGCGGAAGGCATAATGTTATATTTTTCCGATACCGTCTGTGTATTAACGTGCTCATCGTCGCTCCCCGCTCTTGAAGGAGCTCTCGAATCATCAAACGGCGAGGCAAACGGAGAATGCCTGCTATCCCTACGTCCAACTTCCGAGCCATTATTCGAGCTCCAACTTGTCCTTCTCGACATGTCGGATGGTGTACGTGGACTATCGAGATCACTGTATGGTTTTGGAGTTCGCCCTGATCTGGAGGGTGGCAGCAGCATCTCGGCGGATTCGGCTACGGATGGCGTAGCATATAAGCCTGGATGGCTTCTCGAAGCTGCTGATTTTGAAGGAAGTAATTCGCGGGTGACGCCTGGCGTCCCCGGTTCGACGGAGCTATCGGAACGCATGGCTCCTACTATGTCGCCTCCACTCCCGGAGTTGACAGTTATATGTGGTGGTTTTCTTGGTTGACTTAGGGAGTCTGGTGAGACCATTGCTATCTCGGTGGGGATCAACAAATGGCAATTTCACCTCTCGCCTAACGCGTGGAGGGAAGTTTCCAGGGGCTTGCGATCAATCTTCGTGAGGTCGGCGGAACTGAAGAGAGGGTATTGGTTGTAGTGACAGTAATCGGAACGCAGTCCCACTGAACGTAAAAGAAAACGTTGTGAATTAAGCGATTGTCTGCGATTTGCGAATTCCAACTTTCGAATGTGGTATGACAGAGGGGGGTGGAAGGGGAAGGATCGAAGGCAGACACGGTTGAATTAGAAGTCCAAAAGGGCACAACGAGAGAGATGAAGCTTGATGGTATCCAAAGGACGTCGTGTTGGTCGGGTATGAGGTGCTATGGTGAGAGCTGCAAGCCAAAAAAAACGAGGGTCAGGACCGAGTTGGGTCTGGAGGTGGATGGGTGGATGGTAGAGGTGAGAGTCGAGAGCAACGAACCTCGGGATGGGATGGTTTAGGTATCGAAGGGGGCTAGCCTAGTGTCGACGTTCAGATTGATTGGTGGCAGAGGCAGGCTCGATCGACTTCAGCGCAGGTGGTGCAGAGTGACAGGTGCAGAGTATGCACACTGGAGCAGCAGCTGGCCGTCTACGGGAGGGAGAGCCGATGTTGGCGCTTGCTGTCACGAGAAAGGGAGTGAGAGCAGCAGTAGTGAGTGCAGGTGGTCAAGGAAAGGAGAAAATGGAAATTCCAAGTTTTGCACAGATTACAGAAGATTGGCTTGTCCTGAGGATGAGCGTTGGGGGGAGGGTCGGGGTCTTACTGAGGGTCTGAGGGTCTACGAAGAAGTGCCCAGATGAGCCAGGTAGGGGTTGACTAAATTTACGGAGGCACTCAGTAAAGGGTCATGGGCATGATGGGCTCTGCCAGACTCCAGAGAGAGAGGGCGCTAGATAGGGACAGGGGAGATGGGACCTATCACCTATAAATTACAGGCGAACGGTGGCGGCGGGAGAACTGTTGCGGAAGTCACTACTGTGGCTGGAAGGTCACTTCCCCTTTGGGATGAGAGGTCGAGGAGTCAACCAATCCGATTTTCAGCCTCAACATTTATTTCTACTTCCAACGAAACCAGGATTCATTGTTGATAAGCTACGACGGATTAATTCAGCACATCTTCCTAAGGTTGAACTGAAATCAATAAGCTTAAGCTGTCGGCAGGGAGAACCTGTTCGGAGCGTCCCATCGCGCCTTTTATCGCATGTTTAATATAGACGCCTCCTTTTCCGTCTGGGAATTCCTTGGTTGGCGGCGCCTGAGGCTTCGCGTAAATTTAGCTCCCGCAAGACGTACCGCGACGCGAGCCGCACTCAAGACAACTCTTAGTAGGCTAAGCTTCAGGTACGGGGAACGCCAAAGCCACTGACAGTTGGCTACGACTAGTAGTCACGAAAACCAACGTTCAGCACTAGCACTAGCACTAGCACCACCACCAGCACCACCATCCGCTAACCGTTCAACTGTCAACCGCGTCCGAGTTGAAGCTCGTAGCTCGTAGCTCGTAACTTGCTCTGTGGCTTCCTTAACCAAAAGTCGCACTTACGCCAACTGCCATACTACGGCCCCCCTTACTCCATACACGATATTTCCGGCTCTCTCGCTTCCACTGGTGACTTGTTTAACACTTGACTCAACATCGCCCTTGAACCCTTCGGATTCCCTTCTCGTGTCTTCTGGGCGGGTCTTGGTACGAGGAGATCTGGCCATGGCATTGTTCTTGAGTGGTTGGCACTGCTACATATCTAAGCTTCTCGCTCAATTCTATAAATATCCCTACCTATCACCGGATAAACCTACCTTAGCTATGCCTAGCTATGCCTAGCTCAAGCCGAAGCCTGTCTCCACTCTCAAATATCTCGTACAGATCTAGATGACGACACCCACCCTCGTCCCTCCCTCAAAATAAATGCAATCCTGCACGCCATCCCCATTCGTCGCAATCATCACCGCCATCGCCATCGCCATCGCAATGTGGCGCAGGGAAGAGCCTTATAACTGCGTCAAGGTGTTAGCTGTCGTCCCCTCTCGCAAGCTCTCCATCAATAAGGACCCCTAAAGTTAAAAAGACAAGATGGACATGCCATTCATGGGATGAACGCTGCAAGAGGCAGAGAGCGCGTGCACGATCGCCACATAAAACGCCAATTTCGGGCTCTCCCCGACCCCTGTCTGGCTTCCTCACCATTATTCACGAAATTTCCAACGGCCACCAATCGTACTCGAGTAAGTTTGGGAAATCGATATCTTTTTCTTCGTATTTTGTTTTTATATCACCAGATTCCCGGGGTAAAGCCCTAGATGAATTACTGATACCACAGAATTTTCCGTTTTCCTCGATAATAATAATGGTGGAGGGATTCCTACGCCACACAGCTCTCACGGTCGATCCTTAAACCTCAAACGTCCACGATCTCAATCTAGTGGGGCATCAACAATCTGACCTGCGATTCCGGCTAGCCAACGACACCTGGGAAATGGGGGTGGGAGAGAACAAACCTCAGCCTTCTTTACAATGGACCCTCTCAACTTGATCTGGAATCGCGATTTGCTGCTAAGGCGCGTTATCATATCGCGGTGTTAATCCAACATCCGTAAAGGGATGGGATATGCATATCCCACGTAAAAGAATACCGTACCCGCTCGCGAATCGCGATCAGCGTGCAAGAAGCGGTTTTTAGATAACATGATGAGATAGACGGATAGACGATCGTAAGTCTTGATATCTGATTAGGAGTTCATTCAAATTCCATAATTGGTAACTATTCCTCGTCGGGCTCATAAGTCTATAACACCTAACGTCGAAATCGTTTCTACTTTTTCTTCTAGAACCCCCTTCCAAAATCTATCCACCTGTATTATCCTCTCACTTTCTCTCTTCTACCATTCCCCTTAACTTTCGTCAACAAGCGAAAGTCGTTTTCGGACCGGATACTTACCTAGTCGGAGATTAATAGAGAATAGAGAATAGAGATAGAAAGAGCTTCTTTCTCTCTAAGAAATAAATTTAGTTCGTTCGAATACTTAAGATTTATCTCGCTAGGTAGTAACGGAATTAAGTCTTTCTTAACCTAATTATCTCTTCCCTCTCCCCTTTTATTACTAATAGTACTAACCTCTCTTAAGGATTATAATATACTTTTAAAGCTAGTAATATCTTTTATAAGTATTATATTCGAATCTTTAACGTTTAAAATTCTATTTACTACCTTATAGGAGAACCCGGGGTTTTTATAACCGTTATATAAGCGTTAGTAATTAGACTCTATTCTAGAAGCGTTCTAGAAGCGTTTCTACTTTGTAATTATTCCGAGGGATAATTAGTATAGAAGCTAATTATTATTCTATATAACTATAATATAACTATTACTACTTATAACTATTTACATTTAAAGAATAGTTATTTATTATAACTATTCTAAGATAATTCTAGAACTATTCTCGAGAACTCTCTTAAATAATAAGAGAAGTAAGGGTTATATAAATAAATATAAGTACTCGGTATTACTTCTATAGGCTTAACCTTAATACTATAACTTATAGATTTAGGTTTTAAAATTAATTAATTCGAGTAATTTTAACGGGTACGTATTATAGACGCTTTAACGTACGGTAATAGTACGTATATATTACGCTAGTATAGGTAAGGGTAGAGGTAAGAGTAAGGGTAAGTAAGTATCTTCCTGTCACGAATCACGTTCTCACGTGATACTTGTCATAATAAAGAGGCGCAACCCTCGACAGGCACATCCAGGTTTCTTATAGCAAATAGGGATGCTTAGACTAGCTAAGTGATCCAAGGATTTCTCGTGTATGTAGTCACGTGATCAATCGCATCGCCTGTATCGACAGTCGATGTTAGCGATAGAAGGTCACGTGATCAATCGTATCGCCTGTATCGACAGTCGATGTTAGCGATAGGAGGTCGACTACATCGACAGGTGATGTAGGCGATAGGAGGTCGACTACATCGACAGGTGATGTAGGCGATGTAGAGAGAACGAAGGTTCTATATAAGACTGGCACGTCTGCCATTAGATAGGAGCTTCGTGCTCAACTTAGTTATCAATCTTATCATATTAGTTTGACATCTTTGATACAAGTAACGAGTTCACTTCCAAGTGAACAACCCGATAGTCTTCTTCTTATCATAGCATACCAACCAGCGAACACCCAGCCAAGTTTAGTTAGCCAGTTTGAGTATTCGTTACAATTTCCCTCTATCCACATTTAATCTCGCAAGACTTGAAATTTTTCCATTCGTAAGCTAAAGGGGTAAGAAGTCATGGTAGCGTTTGTAAAGCTTTGATCTGGTTTGTTTCTTGCTAGGTAGTTTCGTATCCGACTCTCGGCTCTAAATAAGACGGCTGCATTAGGTAGGACTATTAAGATAAGGGGTACATAGTCTTTTCTTAGCTATATATAGATATATATTTAGAGTAGACTATTTTACTTTACTATATTTCAACTATCTTAACTTCGTATAGTATATAATAGATCTTATAATTCTAAGACCGTAGGAAAGATATTTACCTTTATAATACTAGAAGAGAAGAAAGATTTAATTAGTTTACTATTATTTATATTTATTTTCTTTTTCTACAAGAGTTCTTTTACAAAAATACGAGAATAGAAGATAGCTATTAGGTTGAAAATACCGAGGTCTGAAATAGTACGACATACTTAAAGATAAATAATATCCTGTTGGAGCTATTTATTCGAATGACTATATTAACGAGAATATAACCTTTACTTTCGCTATACGTCGAGGGAAGTAAATCTGATAACTACTGTTTAGAAATCTTATTACCACTCATTGAAGAAGGAGTGTTTTCGCTGTGTTCTCCTGTTGTTTTCCAACTATTATTGATCAATCGTACTTTGTGCTCGTACTTTCACTGTATTTTAAATTCGCCATGTTCCTTGATATTAAGTACCTTCCTGAGATCTAGTAAATCTCAGTCTTGTACGAGGTTAGCCATAGACGTAGACTTATCCTCTACAAGATGTGATCGTGAATTAGCATTAGTCAAATTATCCCCTAAGCGCTTCTGATTGTTAACCTTTCCGGCTAGACTAGATGGGCGATATACATTTTCTATAAACTTTGGGGCCTTGATACTTACATTGAGAGCCTGCCATGTAAACGAGTATTACCAGGGCGAGACCACGAAAGAGAGACTTTGGAAACGGAGAAGATGCTTTAGTGGTTGTGATTAGAGAAACAAGCGCAGTGCTATACCAATATTACCGCTTAGGAGCATATAGTAATTTCTTAAATATAATAGAGTTATTCTAGAGCGGGGGTCTGGATTTTAAAGGAACTTTATTGCTAAGCTTGAGCTTGCTACAAATACCTGCCGACGCTAACTTTGAACTCGAACTCCCTCTAAGAAGACTGACCAATCCATTGTAAACTAGAACTCCGTAGAAGGACATACGCTTGTGCTCATTTCCTGCTAACACTACAGTGCGAAAGTGGGGACGAAACACGCGGAAAATCCGAACTTTCAAAATTCACTTTGCCAACTACCTTCGAGTAGCCGCCCACCGTCGAAAGAGACGAGACTTTCTATTGCGCTACTTCTACTGTAAAAAAGGTGTTACATATTTATTTGTTCGGTGCCATCGTGGTAATACTTTCTAGCTTCATTCTTCTCGTCTACATGCATTCTCTAACTTCCCATGTGACCAAAGAAGACTGCTTATTCATTAACCACCACTCTTTCAGAGATTCCAGGATAATATGCGATAAGAACGAGCTCGAGGTGTGTTTATAGTTACTATCGAAGCGACAAACCACAATCCGTGTCTACATTCTTAAGGAAAAATATTTATTGGTAAGGACTTTGAAATTTTCTTACGATAATATATTACCGGCCTCTTAAACTCAAGGGTAGAATCCAGGCTTCCTATATTCTCTTGGATATGTTCTTGAGGACTAGTAATAATACGTCTTGGGGATACGATTTGTTACTGCTGAAGTAGACGATAATAGTACGAACGGGCATAGAAAAATCTTACTAGATAGGAGGCGTTATAGCTCGGACGACGACCTAGCCTTTCCTTGGTTCTATAGGGTCTCTATAGTTAATTAAAGATAAAAATAGAATAGTGTTATCGTCGAACTTATTATAGATACCTTACTTCTAGTACGAGTAAATAAGATATATAATTCTCTCTCGAAGAGTAAAGTAAGCTTTACTTAAGAATATTATATCAAATATTAGATATACACTTTCATTTTTCCCTCTCATTTAGTAGAGACTAATCCTGCCTTTAGATACACGATAATTAACTATAGTAATACGTACCTAATATACTATTTTATTAAAACGCTAGGAAAGCAGCCGGAAGTTCGGACACTATACGTAACCCGTTAGGCTAGATCTCATCAAGAAGAAGCATATAGAATAGAAAGGTAAATGGTACCTTTTAAGCGAAGCAAATCACAACAAGTCCCCAAACCCCTTTTCACAAATTCCTCCTCACTTATAATCTCAACAACAGGATTCCCCTACCAACCCGAAACTACCTCCCCATCCCCAATATCCAAGAATTCAACCCGCAAGATGCCTTTAAAACGCTCTTTACATCCATTCAAATCTAATATAACAAGAAAATACGCCACCCAGAATGACATTCTCCCTTCCAATCCTAGCAACAGGAGGTTACACAAAGATGACTCTTTGCAGCGAAGCGAACTTCGAATACAGGTCTGCCACCCATTCAAACCGATCGTGGTTAAAAAGAGGTGTTTGAGCGATGACCACGTTGTTTCCGACTCCTGTTACAGCGATGGGACACTTGCCGGCAATACCGGTGATAGCATCCCATCCTACAGCATCAAGGAGATCGAAGCCGAAGCTTGCTAGTTAAGGACATGAGTCAAAGAAGAGTAGCGAGGCGGGATTCCACCACGTGTATCGACGAAATATTCTGACACCAAGGTCTTCTGAGCAGCTTGCGCTTGCGGTATTGGAGTTTCTGTAATCCTTTGAAGTTTGAGGGCGATACGTCGTGATTCATGGCAGGTGTGGAGCGCTGCGTGGGCGGGGATGTAAATGATCTCTCGGTGATGATGGGTTATGTTATAGGAACGGGGAGAGGTTTGGTTGAGAGGATGTTAATGGTGGTGTCTGCGTCGATGTACTTGTGCCATATCGTCTCTCGTAGCTGTATTGCCAGTTTTGGGAAATTGGGGAAGACTGATGTTTGTGTTGGGGGAGAGGCGGAAGGAGCTGTAATAGGAGTGTACATGGTAGCTTAATTGACGCAGTTGAGGGTCTTCTCTTGATGAGCGAGAGATGAGGTGAGGGGTTGGAGTTGATATGGTGGTGGAGTTGGGTAGAAAGGAGAAAGCACTACATTTGACCAGGTTGGAAGTTGTAGGACACAAAATTGATAAACCTAATTGGCGGCTCCATCAAAATAAGGGTCTCTGATAGCCACCACTTAAAATTGTAGCCTCGAATGACCCAGTCCGCTTCCTTATTACGAGGAACACCTACCTACCCCGTTCTTCCCACTATTTTGTATTCCACTTCTATAAAGTATATGATAGTTTGATCGGCAAGGCTAAGATGTCAATTCCACGCGTGCTTCTAGTAGACAAGAAAGGCGGTAGAGATTCCTTCCTTTCAATCAGCGAAAGTGGATCGACGGGCATTTGAACACTTTGGATTTTCACCATGCTACGCCTCAAGGCGAGGATCTGTCTTGACAACCTTGAAGACTGATCTGGAGCAAATTTAATGACGATGATGAGTCGTTGGTGACCCTCAAATTGCGCTTTTGAGCTCATTACTTGTTTCAAAATGGCAAATTCTCACTTGTAAGAGAGGTGAGCATTGCTCAGTACACACTATCAAAAGTTATTATACTAAAAGTCTGGCACAAATAAATCAATTGTCCTATTTCACCTAGGTTAATCAGGAGTGAAAAGTATCAACTATTCTAAACTATTCGTACAATCGAATTAGTTGTATAAGGTCTTTAGGGTATTACTTTTATAACTCAGGTGTGTACAGAGTAATGCCAGTCTCTCTTACACATCTGCAAAGAAAACCACTTAGAAGTATATCATTAAAGCAGGTTGAATATTGAAATGGTTCATATTAGGCTGGCATAAGAAATCTGAAAAGACATCCTCAAAGCACCTTTACACAAGAACCTCAAATAGTTGCATAAAGACCAGTACCTCATATTTGGGAGGTCTGAGGCTGCTTGATACGCACGCCAATTTAGAGGAACAATGAACACAAGAAGTACAGCTATATTTCAACAAGCCTAGACAGCTGCGTAAATATGCCACAATGCTCTCTTATGCCTCAGTGGATGGTTTCCTGAATCTTTGTGCTGGTCAACTCGCAAGTTCAGTTTACTCCCAAGTTCAATTTTGGTTAGCAACCAATGGAATAAGACAAACTGGTGAGAACATCGAGAGCCACCACTAGGGGCAATCCGAAGTTTTGCCGTTTAACGAGTTCAGGCCAAAACCACAAAGTTCAAAATATCACGACCGCAAATTCAAATCAGCAACACCAAGATCTGGTATCGCAGCCCACATTCAGGGCAACACTTTGGGGGAGGAGGTGGCACCATTGAGGGTATACCAGAAAGTGGATCCCTCGCGCGCCACCCAATCAAACGCAGCCGCCTCCTCCCCGCTAGCGCGAGGCCGCCAAAACAAGAGTGTAGCTTCAACCTCGAAACGACGACTCGTCGATACAATGAATTTCGACAACAAGATGCAAAACGCAGAGGAGCGGAGAGAAGAGGAGGGAAGGGAAGGCGACGATTCGTCGTCATCGGCCTCTTTCTACACTGCGCCAGAATTTGGCGGCAGTGAATGCGAGAGGTCGATCTCGCCAACTGACGGCGGATTTGAACCTTCCTCGACCTCCTCTTCTCTTCCTCCTCTCCCTCCATCACAACCGCCGCCAACCCCCACGAGGGCAAACAAAAGAATGGCGTCCTCCAACAGCGCGTCCTCATGGACTTCAAGCCAGACGGACAAGAAGAACAAGCTCGAGCGACTCCAAAACAACGCGGGACATATCGGAGTCCTCAAGTCGCCTTTCTTCCCAAAGAACCTCAGCGAGTTCCTGGACCATGAGATCGATATGAACCGCGCCCGTGTGGCTGAGATGGAACTAAAAACCGAGCAAAAGAAAGAGACTCGAGGTATCAAGTCGGATATCAACGTTGACCACTCGACCGAAGGTGAAGTCCTGTTCAAAAACACCTCTCCCTCGGCCACCAACACCGCGCAATCAAAGGCCAAGGAGAAGAAGGTAGCCAAGAAAGGATTCTCTACTTTGCTCGAAGAAACTACGATCTGGAAGCCCGAGTATGCCGACTTACCTGAGAAAAGAGATCCAAATGGCACCAGTATTGTCACCAGAGCATCTTGGCCAGATCAGAATGAGCTTAAAGCTGAGGGTGAATACCGACTCATGGCGTTTGGAGAGCGTCGTTTACCTTTACCACGAAAAGACATGTACTCCGCCGACGCTGTCAAGGCAAAGGTTGGAGCTGGCGCGACTTGCAAGGAACTGGCCCAACACACTGGAGAGGATATTACTTGGTACGAGAGAGAGGCCATTGAGTACACCGGTCTTGACAAGTTGGAGAGCATCGACAGGGAAAAGGAGTCGCCATACAAGACTTGGACAGCCCGTGGATCCGTCACACCTAGCAAGCAGCCACGAAATGCGAGTGGTCGAAGCACACCGACGATGAACCAACACTCGCCTGGAAGAGGTGGCATGAGAGGAGGAACTCAAACAGCCGAAAATCAAGTGTACATCCCCGGCTTTGGTACGTTCGCAGGTGGTGGATTCCAAGGCATGGCTGACCCCCAATACAATGATATGATGGGAGGGCTCTGGAATCAGTTTGGAACGCAAATGACAGCCCAAGGCCTAACTCCACCACCTGGCATGGCAAGTCCAACACCAGGCTTCGCAGCTTCCGCCAACCGAGCCGTTTCTGGATCGAGTTCTCGTGGTGGTAAAACCGGAGGTCGACATGGTAAAAAGTCTCCCAAAACCCCCAAGTCCGTTACCAGCTCGCCTGTTCCAGCTCCCAGCCCACCCATTCAAGCCTCGAGCCCCCAACCTGACGACAACACCACCGACGAGGACGACAAGACACCCGAGAACGACGACCCAGAGAAGAAGTCGACTGGCAAGAAAAAGAAGAAGAAGGGAACGGGTGCTGTTCGCAAGGACGAACCATTCAGCGAGTTTGAGGACGAGGAAGAATTTCTCCGAGAAAAAGGATTTGATTGGCTTCTCGACAATTGAAGTGATTTATGGAGATACTGGCTGGGGGTGGATGCATTGAATTTCATGACAAAAGCGATAGAGTTTTCATTTTCGATAACAAATGGAGGAATCATGGACTCGTGGTTGGAGAGTGATAATTATGCACTTGATCGCATTCCGTCCTTCGTTTGAAGCATCGAGCTGTGGTTGGTCATGGAGCGCTGGAAGGGTTGAAAATGTAAGCCAGTTTACAGGATTGAAAATACGATGATTTTACAAATGATTGAAGATTGACTTGATTGAATCGAAAGCTTGAGATAACTCTAAGTGATCCCATCGTGAGCAGATCATGCGGTTAAATGGTGTTCCTCCATTCTGCTTCTTGGCAATGCGTCCAGAAAGTCTTGGATGCAGCTTGGCCTCGCTGCTTTTCACAAAGATTTGGGCTCTTTGTTTGAAGTTGACTCAATTTCGTCAACACGCTAGTAGCAACTCGTTTGTGTTTTCTTAAAGGTGATGGTTGAGTTGTTAATGTAACTGAAGTAAGAAGAGTTTAGATAAAGTGGCAGTAAAGTTTGAAGGCACAGACATTCCTAATTGGGTTTAGCGGCTCATCACCTCAATGGCTTTTCCTTGAGGAAGCTCAAGCTAACTACAGATCTGTGAAACGCTTACAATTATTCCGGTTGTGTTAAAATTGTGCTACTTTTCTCGCGAGAAGCTATCACCAGTTATCTTTTCATCGGAAAAATATCTCAGAATGACACTACCCCACGACCAAACCATACGACCATCTCTTGACCACCACGTGGGACATAAGTACCAAAGTACCTATTCCTGAGGTTCCCGAAAGTTTGGTTAATTGCCGCTTTAAAGTTTTTTGGGTCAATCAGCCTTCAGCCTTTCTCTTATCGTGATAACACAACTCGTTGCTTTTGTGAGACTGATCATAACCCCCCTCAGTTGCTCCCAACGGTTTTAAACCACAAAAACGGTTCTTTTCCCCCTTGTTCTTGTCTCCAAATTTACATTGCCTTGTCTATGTTCATGTACCGGTACTTGCGATTCTCGATCAATACAGTTCCGAATCAGCGGTGTGACATCCATCTGATTTCCGCTTCCCCGACGCGTCCCCTTAGCCGAGATATCCGTTATTGACCTACGCAAAAGAGCCTTCGTACAACCCTAGATCGGTCTCAACGCCAATAAAGGAAGTTGAACAGCTTCGTCGATTCTCAGGATGCTTGAAGGAGTGAGTGCCGGGTCCAACGGCGTCAGGAACAGAGAGGACATGTTTAGAAAGGGCAATGTATGTTATATCTTACACTGAATCCCCGCAATGCATCTCTTGCTCTGCCATTGAGCTTTATTCATTTGCAATTTCTTCCCTCTGTTTTGCTGCCAGGGCCTAAGCATATGCGTTGTTTTCTGCAATGATTGCTGAGTTGCCCTGTCATCTATCCTCTTGGGCCATTTGCCCACGTGTTTTTCCTTGTTGTCCCCTAATATATATATGGGGTTCGGTACATCCACAGGTGTACGATGGCGGTGAGGGCCAAGTGGAAGTAGCCTCTCAGAAGCAAAAGAATGACTGAAAAGGATCAACAAGCTTCGGAAAAAGCCCTAGGGGAAGAGTCTTGTCCAGGGGATCGGAGTGCTCCCCTACAGGGGCCTCTCGTTGCTCGAGTACACACGAACGCCAGACGTTTTTCTTTCTCCAGGGCAGGAATCCGAGGTTGAAGATATCCCCGGTACGGAAAGCATGGCATGTCACCTTGTGGTCAAGACGATTGCTGTTCGGGTATTTTTCAGCCTCGTATTTTGATGGTCTTCGTCTTGTGACACCTTGAAAGCCTCGGGCTCAAAGACGGTGAAAGCATTCCTGGAGTTGGGAGAGCGGTTGCTAGCGATGATTGCTAGCTGTTGATGGTGCATACGCTTTGGTGCTGGCTTGCATGACCCTGGAAAACGGGGCGTGGGGAGCCGGAACTAGACAAGAACGAAGAAAAAGCAAAACGCACACATTCAGGAGAACTTGCGTGAGAGGGAGAAAAAGAGGATCAATCAGCAATGAAATACTTCTAGGAGGCCCTCCCCCTTTTCTAGCCGAAGATTTCTAGAAGCAGAAGCACAGTATCAGTATTCTTGCTTTGCCGGGTCGATCGTCATAATACCTGTTTTCGGCTCTTCCAAGTGAGGGGCATTTTCCTGTGTGGGGTTTGCCGGGCCGAGAACCTTGCCTTGACCTGGAATTTCAACACCATCGCATCTGCAAGCCACTGCCTCTGCCTCTGCCTCTGCCCATTGATAGAAGCTGCGACTCGTCGTTTTCTGCTCACCAACAACACCAAATTCCTTCATCCATTCACTACCTCATCGACCACCTGCCGCATGAGCCAAGCAACCTTCCGATCATCTGTTCCTCCTATACTCGTCCGTCAATCGCTGTGCAAGCGCATCTATTGTTCGGATTCAGACCCCTACAAAACCACCCGTCGTCAACCGATATTTCCCGCATCGTTTTCTACATCAACCAATCCTCACGCGACCACTTCCTATTCTTCGTCAACTCCTATTATTCCTTTGAAAAAACTTCTGCCAGCCAGAATTCCATTTTCTAGCACAAATTCTTCAATTCAGAGCCCATCATGGAGTTGGCACGTCCTTCAAGGAAAACTAACGGAATGGGTGTGCAGGTCGAGGATACCCAGATCTGTGTAGTGATGGTTGGTCTGCCAGCTCGTGGAAAGTCTTTGATTGCCCAGAAAGGTAAGAATCAACTGTCTACCATGTTGGTGCTGAGGAACCTGTTACTGACCGCCCGTTCTCTTTAGCACAACGCTATCTTCGATGGCTCTCGATTGACGCTAAAGTCTTCAATGTTGGCAATTATCGCCGTAACGATACTCCTCACCCTACAGCCGAATTCTTCAATACAGGAAATGCAGAGGGAGAACGAATGCGTCGTGCGGCAGCTGAGGCGGCGATTGCAGATATGATAAAGTGGTTCAGAGAGGGCGGGCTGATTGGGATTCTCGATGCTACAAATTCGACGAAGAAACGAAGACGCTGGATAAAGGAAGAAATGGACAATCATGGAATCGAAACGCTCTACGTCGAGAGCAAATGCGATGACGAGGATCTCATCATGAGCAATATTCTAGAAGTCAAAACTACGTCCCCCGACTACGAAGGCCAGGATCCCGAGGTAGCTGCACAAGATTTCCGAGAGAGGATTCGGAATTACGAGAAGGTTTACCAGACAATTGACGAAGACGAAAGCGACTTGACATACCTGAAAATTATGGATGTTGGGAAACAGGTCATTATCAATCGGATCCAGGATTATCTCCAAAGTCGAGTTGTTTACTACTTGATGAACCTACATATTAAGCCAAGATCTATTTGGTTGTCGCGAGTAGGTCCCGGAAACCGATAAGAGATCCCGAAAGATTTTATTAACACACGAATAGCACGGCGAATCGCAATATAACCTTGGTGGACAAATTGGTGGTGATGCAGATCTTTCCGAACGAGGCCAAGAATATGCAAAGCGATTACCAGAACTCGTCCGACAATCCGTTGGTGTATGTGCTTTCCGATATATGCAATCGCTATATTACCCACATGATGATCTACACATGCGCTGTAACAAGATATAAGCTACATTACTAACTTTGTGCAGGATGACCGACCTTTAACAGTCTGGACCTCTACCCTTAAGCGAACCATTCAGACGGCTCGACATCTGCCAAAACACTACAATCAACTTCAGTGGAAGGCTCTTGACGAACTCGATTCTGGCGTTTGCGATGGTTTGACTTATGCTGAAATTAAAGAAGAATATCCCGAGGATTTCGCAGCCAGAGATGACGATAAATACAATTACAGATATCGAGGTGGTGAATCGTAAGCTTGTCCAATGGCCATTTCTAAAAAGATGTACTGACAAAAATCCTAGATACCGAGACGTGGTAATTCGCCTCGAACCAATCATCATGGAACTTGAAAGATCGGAAGACATCCTCATCGTGACACATCAAGCGGTTCTGCGATGCATCTACGCATATTTCATGAAGAAAGACCAAAAGAAATCGCCATGGCTTAATGTCCCATTACACACTCTGATAAAACTCACACCCCGCGCGTATGGTACGATTGAAGAATTCACCTCATCAGGAATCAGTGCTGTAAGTACATGGAGAGGCCAAGGAAGTGTAGCAAAACACGAGGATCCACCTTCCGGCGCGACAAGCCTTGGCAGCTCTGGCGACGGAGAGACCACAGCAGCAGCAGCTTAGGAAAGATGAGATTCATTCTGAAAACCCGGTTCTTGGCTCGATTGATTCGGGCTTCTTATATACGATATACGATAGATGATACACACGAACACAGCAAAATCAGGGGGACCTTTTTAACCCTTTTTTTCATGGCTGTCATGGACTAGCATAGCGATCTGGCGTACCCGTTGGAATTAGGGTGAATGGGTGGATAGATGCATGGATGAAATGGAAGGATGGGCAAAGGCAAGCAGGGTATTTTCGCCTTTTGCTGTTGTTTGTTTTGGCTGTGCTTTATGAGTGCATGTGTGTATGTGATCATTACCTGGGTTACTCTTCTCAACTATTTTTTTACTTCCTCCTTCTGGATCAGCAACCTTGGGATGGCATGGGGGTTAAACCTTATCGGGAATAGAGACTGGAATAGATGGTCTTTCGGATGGCTGGGTCGGGATAAGGATAAGGATCGGTTGTAGGGTGGGGGCATAGCATAGCATAGCGTGGTTGTAGGGGGGGGGATGGATGATTAGGTGGGTTGCTTAGGTAGTTGTGGATCGAGATTCTTGCGTTAAGAGAGTGGTTCTACCTATCCTATTCGCTGGCCTTTGTGAAGATGTTTCTTTTTTTCGTGATGTTGAAATGATGACACAGTGTGAGATTTAGGGAACTATGGGTGGTTCCTTTTATAGACAGAAAATGCTCGGGAAACAGATGCTAGGCTAGGTAGCTATGGGTATTTATCAGGTATCCTTGGCGTATGTGACCTTTGAACTCGGACGGGGACCTGGGTGTAAGATTACGAGTAACTTGTTGAGATCTTGTGGGAGTATAATAGAGTAGATATCTGATTCTGTCCTGGACAAGTACACAACTCCATGTTACGTCATCCATCCACTCTCTCATGAGATCTAAGTCAAGAGTGGGTGGTAAAACAACAAAATGGGAGGCATGTGTGACTGGTTATACCTAGGTAGGTAGGTAAAAGTAAAATCTTGGAAAGCATCCTGGCCCTCACACTTTCGACAAATTTCACTACTCATCACAATAGAGAACATAAGAATTTAAATGGATATATATATGTATGTCGAAACAAGAGATTTGTGGGTTGAGATAAGAGATAAGAGGTAATATTGAGTAACTTTCGAAATATCAACTTAAAGATATCCAAGGCACCATTAAGTCATTTTCAAAAAGATCAACTCAAGGATATCCAAGTATCCAAGTAGCGCGATCTCAAGTATGATCGTCGGACGGCTATGGTTACGGGAGTGCGATGCCTAATCCTGAGTCTGAAGGGGGATGAGTTAGTGATAGCCCTAAAAGAGGGAGAGAGAGAGAGAGAGAGAGAGAGAGAGAGGGTGTATATGAGTATAAATGAGAAAGTGTGAAAGCTAGATAAGGAAGGAAAAGAGAGAGGTCATCATACCAACAGTAATAGCCTGACCAGTCATCGATGAGTTCCTGGCTATATCCACGAATGCTTGTGCGCAATCTTCTAGATCGGTCTGTGTCATGAGGAAACCAGTTAGCGGTCTGATAGTTTTCTACTCTTTGAGTCTTTTTGGTTCTGCATTTATATACATAAAGGTGGTGTCTTCTGAAGCGAGAATTTGTGTCGTAGATGGGTCAATCATGAAGGGGTGAGGGGGAAAAAAGGAAATGTGGTAGGAAATAACAAACCTCTTTCTTAAGCTTCGCGGTATTCTTGGCTGATTCTATCATTTGGGGGGAGTAGCGGAGGCCCTATAACCTATAAGTTTGGACCATTTTTCATGTTTTATGGATAAGGGAGTAAGGAAGGAGAGAGTAAATACCCATTCTGTGAGTAGCAATCCTGGTAGTACGGCGTTGACTCTTATCTTCGGACCTTGGGTGAAGGCTAGGCATTTCATTAGGTGGATTTGAGCGGCTTTTGTTACGCTGTAGGGCATTGATGAACCACCTATGTGGTTGAGTTAGTATAATTCTGTCCGCGATTAAGTGCTAGATAGAGATAGGAGTGTAGTTCTCAGTGCTTCGGCGGGAATGTGGGAAATTCGAGGTTTTCTTGACAAAGAATGGTGTTTCGGGAAGAAAGGGGGGATTTGTTACGCACTAGGATGAGTCGCTGCAATACTGGAACTCATGATTAGACACCCGCCTTCAGGGTTACTTTTGAAAGTCGGAGATGCCTCGCGTAAGAGGATGTGCTGGGCTTTTACGTTGACGGCGTAGCAGTAGTCCCAATCGTGGGCGGTGGTTGCGGTGAGATCGGGGAAGTTGGAGAAGCGGGTGTAGCCTGCGTTGGAGACTATTACTTTGGGGGTGTTAGGTTGGTTGTTTTGTGAAGGGAAGATGGTGCAGAAGGAGTGTGTCGTTAGGGAGGGAGGGGGTTGTTGAGATGGTTGGAAGAGTATGAGAGGAGGAGTGATGCTAGAAGGGGACATACTGTCGATGCCTCCGAGGTTGGAGATTGTTTCTTGGACTGTGCGGATACAGTCTTCTTCTTTGCCCATGTCCTGTTGAGTATTAGTATGTCTCTTTACGTTGGTAGAAATGGGGATCTCGTTTGAGCAACCGAGTTACAATACACAACGGTAAATTCGATGAAAGCACCATAGATTCTACTCACAGCTTGAATGATAATTGCTTTCACCCCACAATCCTTCTCCAGCTTCTCCGCAAGAGTCTTGGATTTCTCCGCGCTAGCGAGGTAGTTGATGGCAACATTGCAACCTTCTTGGGCGAACTTGATACAGATGACTTCCCCAAGACCTCTGTTTACGAAGATCAGTAAGATTTCTGCTCATGTATTTCATTCCCGGGGCTCGTAGGGACGACAGAACGACGCCCTGAGAATGACTCCAACACGTGTTGATCACGTTCGTCTGTGATTTACAATCATCCATACCGGCTGTTAACAACTGAAGATAGCATAATCACGACGATGAGAAAGATGGTTTATCAAAAAATAGTGGTGAGTGAAGCCCGATACGGTACTCAGTACGAGCAAATTCTAATCCCCGCACGATGACGAGAGCTGAATGGTTGCGTGATACGAGATGAGAGAACTAACCGGGAACCACCGGTCACCAATACATTCCTTCCTTTGAGCTCGTAAACCATGTTGATTCTAGGGAGTATGAGATCAGTGATATGTATGAAGCTTTGACTTACGATGGAGTTCAAGGGCGTCCATGTAGGATGGTTGGTAAATGGTTGGTACGATATGTCGGGTACCTGGGCTGGATGTGGGGCACCTACAGTAACACCGACCCCGCTTTTAGCCATAAGTCCGGCGGGGTTGTGTTCTAGCGAACCTACTCGAGTACGATTATTGTAGTTGTTACGCAGCTATAATTTTGCCTTACCATTTTAGGTATTCAGCTCCGCGCGTAGTACAGTGTACTTTGATCGGTTTTATATGCTATGCTCTGTACTAGAGTGTTTCCAAGTCTCGAATTAAAGAGATACCGGTAATGAGTTTAATCCGACGCGGTTATCGGTGAAGAGTCCTCTTACAATTTATAAATTAGCAAGCTGAATTAGATGCAAGGTCTCTTACTATGTATCGGGGTCTATAAGTATGCATATTCGTCACTGTTACTTTTTTGGTAATTAGTTGGGATGCTTTTCATGGCGTTGCTGTTCACACGTGGGCAGAATCCATGAAGTTTATCTCCTGTGTCGTCATTTACTTATGGCAAAATTGACAGACAGTGGACTTCATCAATCGATGACTTTGCGGCTTCCAGTTTTCTAGCAGGAGTGAAGTTATTCTATCTACACAGATTCTCCATCGATTTATCGCCGCGAAAACAGAGTTCGTGTCTTTTACTTGCCAAGGTTCGTACTCAACCCCTTTTTAAGCGAGGAGTTTCATACCAAGTGGTCGCTTTGAAATCAACTAGAAGATTGGAAATACGGCACACAGGAGTTATACCACTTTCCGAGGCTCTTTCCAATGTATTTCAGGGTGGTATTTAGCTTACGCATCTTGGATTCGCCAAAATTCACGTTTCGCACGAGCGGTAAGATCTTACGTTGCATCTCCTGGGTTTAGAATATACTGTAACATTATTAGACATTTTTTGCAGCCTTTTGGGGCTTTTTTTGACCCTGGATAAGTGCCAATGCAAGTATAGGTAATCTTATACAACAGTTATGTTACACAGTGTTAGGTGGGAATTTCTAAAATTCTAAGAGACCTTAGCAGACTTGGCACGATATGATCGATGTGATATCGGGGGAGAGAGGAGGGGGGTCATGGGTGATTATCTTATCGTGGAACAATATATGGACGGGATGTCGCGATATAATATAGAAGTAGGGTGTTTTTGATAAGTATGGTATCGGCGCCCAGGTCTGGGCCCTAGCTTAGTGCTCTCGTGGTGCTATTTGTAGTGGGCCAGGGTGGACTTCTGACTAAGCATTCACCTTGGCGTTCAAAAATCCAGCGTGCAAATAGCTTTGTAAAACCTTCTCTTACGGGTCTTTTCGATGTGGGCGGAAAAGTCGTCATTCTGCCCCAGTTTTATCTGATTTACAGGCTTCCAAGTGGATTTGCAAGAGGAGTACAGGCTTGTCGTTTATATAATGTAGATTATAAAGAAGCCAATTGCAACAGGGGAAGCCCAAGCCCTGCAAGCGTGAAATCTGGCAGAGTAACGCCCCACGAAAATTATGGGCTCTGGTAAGTAATTCGGTCGAAGAGATGGTGTAAGAAACGTCTATTATAAAGCTGTCCCTCGATCGGACTTTGTTTAACTTCATTCATTGAGTTGTCACTTTTCACCCTACATAACTACATACTTTTCATATTTTCAAGCAGTAGTCAGAATGTCTTCAAAACTCTTCAAGCCCCTGAAGCTGGGAAATCTTGAACTCCAGAATCGAATCGTTATGGCACCCCTTACCAGACTCAGAGCCGACGATGACCATGTTCCTCTCCCATTCGTTCCAGAATACTATGCTCAACGTGGCTCAACACCAGGTACTCTTCTCATTAGCGAAGCGACTTTGATTGCGCCCCAAGCAGGTACAATGCCGAATGTGGCAGGAATTTGGAACCAAGCCCAGATTGATTCCTGGAAGAAGGTTACCGACGCAGTACATGCCAAGGGCTCTTTCATATTCTTGCAACTTTGGGCGTTGGGACGTACTGCCCGGAGACAGGAATTGGTCAAGGAGTTTGGAGAGGATGTCAAGGTCGTCGGGGCAGGTGATATTCCTCTCAAAGATGGCGATAAACCGACACCACTGAGCGAGGATGAGATTAAGGAGTATATTGGCTTATATGCTCAAGCTGCCAAGAACGCCATTGAGGCTGGTTTCGATGGCGTTGAAATCCATGGCGCGAATGGCCTTCTCGTCGATCAATTTCTTCAGGATGTTTCCAACAACCGATCAGATGGATACGGAGGTAGTATCGAGAACAGATCTCGTTTCGGTCTCGAAGTCACAAAAGCTGTCGTTGAAGCTATCGGTGCTGCAAGAACTGCAATCAGAATCAGTCCGTACTGCGTGTATCACAACATGAGGATGGAGGATCCTGTTCCTCAATTCTCACACTTCACATCTCAATTGAAGAAGTTCAACTTGGCTTATCTGCATGTGTGCGATGTTGTCGAGGTTGCTGATAATACCGTGATTGATTTCTTGATCAAGATATGGGATAACCAAAGTCCTTTCTTGGTTGCTGGGGGATATAATGGTGTCTCGGCTAAGAAAACGGTGGATGAGGAGTACAAGGACAAGGATATCGTCGTTGTTTTTGGAAAAGATTTCATCTCGAATCCGGATCTGGTTTTTAGATTGAGGGAAGGAATTGAGTTTACTCCGTATGATATGTCTCTTTTCTACAATAAGAAAGAGGAACATGGTTACATAGATTATACCTTTAGCAAGGAATTTGTTGCACAGGCATAGTTTGGATAAGAGTTCAGATAATTTATGCGATAAATGATCAAGGCTTTCTGGATCATACCTTCATAACCGGATTTTGGATTGTTCGTATTCAATGGAATAGGGTTGATAAATTTCGCTCCCATCCCTTTTGTCAATAGAAAACATTTCACAACATAACCATCATGTTGTTAGCCACTGACAAAATTCTAACAACAAATTACACCCCATGCAGAAAACTTTATGTTCTCCAAGACTCCAACATCCCTCTAAGTGGTGATAATTCTGGGCCACTTTTGACACATAAGCCCACACCTAAAAATGCAACCCAAAAGGCCACAGAAGCTGTGTATATGGTATACTAAAAGGCTACTTGATTGTGAAAAACTTGGGTGTCAAGCAACTCAGTATCATTCTATAATCTCTCATCATTTTTTACTAAAGTCTACTGAAATATGGGCGTAGACTGATATTTTGATGCAATAGTCTAACATGTCAAAATGGGCCCCTTATTATCCACACTTAGAGCATACTAGGATCTCTCAGTACAATAAGGTATTTCCACTTAACCTTATGGACAGAAAGGTAACAGCAAATAAGCCTTTGTTCGCCTAAGCCATTCCCAAAAGTTTGTATTATTAATGTAAGAGGTATCGGTGATATACAGAGTGTATATAAGACAGTGGAAGTAGGATGGTCAGATGACTGTTAGGTACATCGGGAATCAAAAGAGTAAGAATTTGACTTGTGAAAATGACTTGAATTTTCTAACTATAAGGACAGTAAAGGTCTATATATACTTCTTAGTTAGATTCTAGGAGGTTCTATAGATTATAAGTAGAATAGAAGTGCTTATAAATAGAAAGGGATACTAGAATGTTTTGGTTCACGTGATCGAACGTTCTAGAATAAGCGAGAACAGACTAAGGTTTAAACCTAAAGTCTATTAGTAAGTAAGGTAATTATTACCTAAATGAAACAATTAAAAACGGTTGTCTGAGTATTCTTGGACAATCACAATGGTTGTCCTAAGAGCTCTAAGCAAATTTCTTGAAATTTACGAAGGAAGTAGTTCCACTGCCGCTGTTTCCATAAGCCTCTGATTCAACTCACGTGCTCAGGAGTCACTACCTGGGTAGCCCTTACCTATCAACCAATAACACGTGCTCAGACTTCGCCTTGATGAACTTAAATTGAACTACCAAGTACATGCAGATTGAGAACAGGACATAAACTCGCTGCTCCAACATTTGCAACCCAGAGTGCTGAAATCCTCCCTGGAGAGATTCTTTAATTGGGGTATCCATTGTCCTCTTTCGCGTTCCTACTGCGGCTTTGTCTTCCCATGTCACTGCACTGTGAATTGACAACAAAATTCGACTCTCAAAGTTGTAATTGCAACCTTCTTTGCAAACGGCAAGAGATCCCAGTTCATATATGTATGCCATTAGAGCCATTTGCTGACAAACACCAACAGAAACTTTCTGTGCCATTCCCTCCAAACAACTTTCTCTCCTCCAAGCTTTCACCATGAAGCCACCAGACCGTTCACAATGTCCACCCAGACGCAATGGCAAAGGAGAGGAAGATGAAGATACCCAGAAATTTAAGCCTTGTCGACGTTATGGGCTGTTTGCCGCTGACAGTGATCCTAATAAATTGCAAAAGAGGCTCTCAGACGAAGATGGAAAATATTTGGATGGATATTACGCATCTATCTGCGAATATTCGGAGATTTGCAAACATTGTGGTGGTAGACCGGCACATATCGACACTGTTATTATTGCTGTAGATGGAGCGTGTCGAGGCAATGGTTCATTGAAGCCAGAAGCCTCGTACGGAGTCTTCGTGAAGGAGAAATCACTTCTCAACATATCTTCTCGCATTCCGGATAGCGAAGACGCACCTCCACCTACAAATCAAATTATAGAATTATGGGCTGCTTATTTTGGTATCAAGACTGCGATTCGCCTCAAGGAAAGCGTGGGAAAGAAACTGTCCTTGGTTGTTATCAAGGCTGATTCCGAATACGTTGTAAAAGGCATGACGGACTGGATCGGCAAATGGAAAAACAATGGGTGGAAGACTGCTAAAGGGGGCCCAGTGACCAATCGAGACATGTTTGAGATACTTCAAACAGCTGTTGATTTTGCTGCCAGACGAGGTGTTAAGATTGAGTTTTGGCACGTCAGAAGAGAGTTTAATCAAGAGGCGGATGAGCTAGCAAATCTGGCTTTTGATAACTCTTTTTCTGCAGAACTGAGAAAAACGTTGATTTGAAGCTTGTCAAGGCTTCTTTTGAAAGACTTATTTATTTGTTGTGGATGACATAGGAAAACAGCTACTAAGGTTGGACTTTCAGCGAACACTATCAAGTGCCTGCAAATGACACTTTGAAGAAAGTGATGAGCAAGAGTCGGCTTTTGGGTGGGAAAGAAGAATAGTAGAGACCTTTTTCCCTAGTATTAGGATAACTTGGTAAAAGAATGTACATAGTTATTTTAGGACAATCACTTTACTTTATTCTAGGGTGTTGAGTTGATTGATTTGATTGGCCTGAAAATATACCAGAATAACATTCCAGATCAATATATGCTTATAGCAAAGGGAAAAAATACAAAGTTGAAATGCCGTTTGTTCTCAAGCATCCAGCTTAAACTTTTGCTTACATAACGTGATCTAGCATCACTTGTTCGGAGTTCCACTTCCGTAAATTCTCATCAGCATTACCATATTGAGCTTCTGGAAACTTTATTTGAAGCCATTCTTGTCATAATTATTTCTCGACATCTGATATCTAATTACTAATTATTGAATGTGAAGTAAATCGGACTCTTCCGCCAAGTCGTAACCGCCTGCTCGGTAGCGAGTACCTGTACAGAAAATTACTGTAACTCTTGACCACCAGACTTCGTTTGCACAAGACACCTTCAAACATCCCCGTTCTAGCCCCATACTGCCATTCTGAGAAATTTTGGAACTTGAAGAATTGTCGTGGACAGCAAATTTCCACGTTTCTGACATCATTGCCAACATACTACATGTTTCCTTTTCCGGAAATCCATTGACCCACCACTCTCCCTACAAATGATGGGTGGAAAACGACACAACGAGAGCTGTGGCCATCACCGTCCCCCAAAGGTTCCCAAAAAGACCATTCAATTCGAGCCATGTAAACGCTATGGAGTCGACAGCCCGTTTGCAGACAACCCCAACCTGATGCAGACTTTCCCCGAAGAAGGTTTTTGTCAGGCACTGTGGGAAACGACGGTATGCGATTGTGGCGATAGAATGGTACATTCCGATACTCTCATCGTTGCTGTCGACGGCGCTTGTCGGGGAAATGGCACGTCTACAGCAGAAGCCACATACGGAGTGTACGTTAACGATTTTTCGGAATACAATGACTTCTCTCGTCTCCCGAAAAGTGAAGCACCACATACAAACCAGAAGGCGGAGTTGATAGCAGGATATTATGGTATCATGACAGGCCTTCGCATAATCAAGGATGAGGAGGAGACGCCCAAGGTCGGAAATGTGGAGCCGGGTACAAAATATCTGGTCATCATCAAGACCGATTCGGAGTATCTAGCCAAGGGAATGACAGAGTGGATTATCAAGTGGAAGGCAAATGGATGGATCAATAGTAGAGGCGGTATGGTAGCCAATCGTGAGATATTCCTGAAGGTACAAAGCGCCATCGACGAAGTAGAAAATTTAGGACACGATGTTGAAATTTGGCATGTCAAGCGACAATTCAACCAGGATGCAGATGATATGGCTAATATGACTTTCGATGATGATTTTGATGAAGATATGTAGTTACAAGAGGAATGTCAGAGAGAGTGTCGCAGCGCAATATCAAGACGGTCCAACATTATAATAGCCAAAGGATACTCTATGATTAGTGATAGTAATATTTCCCAAAAAGGATCATACATAACTTTGATAGCGAGCTAGCCTAAGGCTACAAAGTACTGTAATTGAATTGCCGAATTTAGAAATTAGTATCGGAGGTGAATTAGATAATACGCAAATAATATGGCCAACGTAGCTTTCGGCAAGAAATACTACTGAATTCAAAAGGAGAGGATAATTCGGTATTTATATCTTAGAACTATGTTGCTTGTATACATGTATTGCTGTAGACTTTTAGCGAGGAGCGCAAAGCACAGGTTCACGAATCGGCCAAAAAGAGCATCTACTTGAGTTCTATACCATTTCATTCATCGTTGAAAGCTAAAGTATGTTCTTAGTGTTCTAAGCCTTCAATTCTGCCCCCATTTTCCGTCTTACATCTCTCCTTAAAGTATCCTGTTCTAAATTCGGTCCCCGTTCCGCTTCAGTTCTAGAATATGAAACTGCTACTGGGAACCGAAATCCCAAGATAAGCTAGAATGGGGGAAAAGTGCTCGCGCGTTTGCAACGCGAGGTTATGTCTCAGTTCCTACTATACCTGTCATATTCGATCCTCGCTACCTTACCCGAATGCGCCGATCCGATTCTGTCTCATTTTGAAGTCTGCCTTTGCTGGTCGTTTTCTCCATCTTTTCTAGCCGATTCCGCCTTTTGTTTGCAACCTTTCTGACTAATTCACCTCAATCTTACAAGTGAATGGAGTATTCTTGAAACCAATGACCTCTATGATATTCACCCTTACATGTATCTTCGATCTGTGCGACTTTGGGATTGGCGCTATAACACATAGTTCCTGAAGAGTCTACCTTAGACAAACACAAGCCTCCTGATCTGCATGGATCTTCTGATCGCAGATCCATACCACCGTGGACTGCTACTCGAGTACATCGCATCCAATAACAAGCCCAGTAAGACTTTCTCGATCTCATAATTTCAGAATATCACTGACATAGTTACCACTAGATTCAAGCAAGCCATACCTCTGTAGCTTGCTTCCCAAACGCCTTCTTCACAACATCATGGCCCAACCGGCATCAATTTGGAGCACCCACCCCTCAAGCACCCCCGATCCCACGGCAACGGAATCCAAATTTAAACCTTGCGAGGAATGGGGCTATTAAACATTCACGGATGATCCAAACCTGATGCATACATGGCCAAAGAAAGGCTCAAAGAAATATAGTATGGCTATCTGTCCCCATGTCAAGGAGGCTTGTCCATGCTGTGGTCTACCGGCGGAACAAGATACCATCATCATAGCTGTAGATGGAGCTTGCAGAGACAACGGCAAAGCTACAGCACAAGGCGCATATGGTGTATTCATCAACGAGCTCTCGAGATACAACAAGTCTGAGCGTCTTCCCCAAAGTCCAGGACCACACACGAATCAAATTGCGGAGCTCTGGGCCGGATATTATGGTATCTACACAGCAGTACAATTTGCACTATCCGAGAATTTGAGAGAGAAAATCAAGAAGATGAAGGAATAGCAGGGATTAGAGGATGAGGAGCATGGACATGTTGGAGAAAAGAAGGGGAAATTTCTCATAGCCATTATTAAAACTGATTCTGCATATCTGGCGATGGCGATGACGAGTTGGATTGCAAAGTGGAAGTCGAACGGATGGAAGACTAGCAAAGGAGCTCGAGTAGCGAACAGAGAGCTATTTGAGAAGGTGCAAGAAGCAGTTGATTATGCCAACAGTAAGGGGATTGAGGTTCAGTTTTGGCATGTGGGCCGAGAGTACAACCGAGATGCGGACGAGCTAGCTAATATGGCGCTTGACGACGACGACGACATTTAGTGAGACACTCTCAGGAAAGGTTGAGGCAACCACGTCTCTATCTGGCATGGGATAAGAGTATAAATACACAATGGGGAGGGGAAGAGCTATTTGAACTTGAGTCTGAAATTGCATCCTTGTACCAAAGAACATATCCCTAAAAATATAACTAAGAAATTCATTAAGCACGCCCCGCAAACCTCAAACCATCATCCTGAGCAATTCGATCCTGACTATACCCATCGTTCAACTTATCAAGATACTTATCAAACCTCCCGGAAATCTCAATGATGTCCTTCAAATGATCATAAGTCAGAATAGTCTTCTTCCACTGTGCATATTGTCTCGCAGTAGTGATTGCATTCCTTATCTGTCGACCGTTCATCTCGTTTTCAGCTAGCTGCTCAACGTGGTCTTTCAGATCATGGAAATCAATGTTCTGTTCTCCCAGTGTCTGAAGTCGGGAGATGAAGTTCTTCCAAATTTCAATACGCTGGTATTTTGTCAAGTTGGCATAGTTGAGAGCAAGCTGGATTCTGGATTTGAAGGCTTCCTGTATTGTTGTTAGTTTGCGCTTTTACAGGTATGGGGGAAAAAAGATAGGTCAAAAATAGGTTGCTTACATCAAACGTTCCAACTCTGTTAGATGTCAAGATTAGAATCCCATCATAATACTGTGTAAACACTTAGAGTCAGTATTACTACGTCTAGCACATGAGCACTTCTGCCTGTTTTATAGGGGCTGAAGGCACATTTAGGAGAACAGAGCACGTTATAGCAGAAAAAGTCACCTTGGCGCTGCTAAAACGAAGCCAACAGAGGAAGAGATAACTCAGCAGCGACTCACCTCCAGAACTCTCAAAAACACCGAGACGAGTGCATTTCGCTTAAGGTCTTCCAAGCCCCTTTGTTCGATCAGCTTCATCAAGCAACACAACGCAGCCCCAGGTTTGCCGAGATGTAAGACAGATTCTAAATATTTTTCTACGTCTTCAGGCTCAGTTCCGATATCACCGCAGGTCACTCGATAGAGTGGTTTTTCTGAGCATTTCAGCAACGCTATAGTTTGTCAGCATGCGTATGAAAGAGAGAACCGCATTGGATGTGGCAATTGGATTGGCAGAGTAAATCATTGTCGCCCTCTCAATATGGAACTATCTCAGGGATTTTGTGAATAGCTTTGCCCAACTCAAGTACTGCGTCTCGCAACCTTTTCAGGTAGCGTACTCATAAAACAGCTAGAGATGTTCTCATATCTCTCCGAACGCACACCTTGCAAAAACAAAATGACCCTAGAAGACTCGTATAATCAGATTGACTCTGCGAACTTTCTGGGATAATTGAGTTTGTAGCTCTTTTGAACATTTGCTCTGGACAATCAAGTGTATCGCTCCAAAATATCGGGCACAATATGTAGGTCTAATCAGAACAAAGACGTATTCTCTTACTTGCGCAGTCGCTAATCTTACCTCTCTGCTGTCAAAGCCTTTCCAGTTCCGGGTCCCCCATGAAGCAGCAAAATCAGGCTATTGCCTTTTCCACCTATCAAATCTGTTGATTTTTCGGCGGCGAGTTGGTTGCTTATTAAAGCTTCAATCAAGTCCTTAGTTTTGGAGTCCAGGACCAAACTTTCAAATCCGTCCTTGTTCCAGGTAACGTCCGAAATACCGTCAACCTGAAGGTCAACCCACTTTTTGCGTTGTAGGTTATAGCCCTTGATACTGGGAGGAAGTAAATATATAAAATTACCCGACGGAAGAGTGTCAGACTCCATCAAATCGCTGCTGAGATCGTCCGGTGAAGGCCCGTCAGTATTGCTGCTCGTATGGAGTTCTCGGTAAGTCGCCAAGTCGATCATGTATCTTTCATCGACCGCCTTCTCGAAATAACGGCTCGCTTCTTCAGAATACGATATGAACCTTCTAAATCGGCACTTCCAGAAGGTTTGCCCACGGTCTCTGAGGTACTGGGCTCGACTTTCATCTAAATGACTCAGAGGCCGCAGATTTAAATCGGCAATATCCTTTTCTTCTAGGTCATCAACTCCGATCTGGATATGAATGCACATGTGGAGGGGTTTGAAAGTCCCGTTGAATCTCCAAGTCCAGATCAATGGGCCACGACTGTATCTTTTTGTAATTTCGTTTGGATCGCCCTTTCCCGTTATCAACCACCCCATAAGTGTCTACTGCACCTTGTCTATAGACTTCCTTAATCGCTGCTCCTGAGTTGCTTTGATGCCTTTGGACCGCCATCCTTGGTTTGTGTAGGGGCCCACTGAGGGGGATCGAAAAAGGTTTGTGGAGGTGGAGGTGGAGGAGGTGAATTGGGATCTTGGCCTTCTGGGACACGAAAGAGTAATCTATATAAAACTTGATAGCTCGAGGGCTCCCTCGATCTTTCTAACTCCTCTAGGGCTTTGGCCTTTAGTTGCAAGCCAGCGATGTAATCTTGAAGGCTTTCTAGGTTGGTCACTGATTCTCCGGGAATTGCGGAGGTTACCTTCGCACTTGAACTCGGGTTTCTGGTCTGGTCCAAGAATGCCTCATATATGGCACTGGGAATCTGTGGGGAGTGATTGACGAAACTTTGAGCCGTATAAGCTGCCGAAGGAAGCGAAGGAAAAGCAGGACCCGCGGAAAGAGAAATTGCAGGGGGTAAAGCTGACGGATAAGCTGGCGGGTTTAGTGTGTGCCGAGCAGATTTTTCTCTAAGTCTGTGATTTCTCCGCTTGGAGGGTGACCTATTTCTAGTGGGTGGATTGAATTCATGGGATTGAGGCGGAGGTGGTGGTGGTGGTGGTAGCGGTATCATGCCATTGTGGTATATATTGTTTGAAGGCGGCGGGCCACGAAAGTCTGATGGAGGTGGATGTTGCTGAAATCTTCCGGGTGGCTGCTCAGAATTATCCATTGCCTGCCCTTTCGCTTTTTTATCTCTTCTTTGTGCAACTCTCGATTTTGGTTTCCCGTCAACGGCTTCCTTTTCTGGGGGTGTTTGGGAAGAGTTGTGGCTCCCTACTGGTCCTGGACCGCCTTCTTTCAAAACAAGCAGATTCCTATTCTCAAACCCACTTCCCTCGCTATGGTCTTGGGATATTGTGATGTGCTTGAGATAATTGTGGGCAGTACTATTAAGCTTTGACGGTGTCTTTTCGTCTGTGTCGGATCCTGATATAGCAATACTGTCCTCAGAATCGCTCTCCTCTTCACTCGAGCTCTCGCTACCACTAAAGTGATTTCTCTCCTCTTTCTCGCTCCCACTTTCATCCGCACCTTCCGAATCCCTTTCGCTCTCGCTGTATATCCGGCTTCTGCTGGCGCTGCTGCATGAGTCGTCGTCTCTCTCGGATTCTTCGTATGGATTGCCACCCTCCTGTGGTAGTCCGCTCATGGAGAAATCCAAAGACCGGAATGGCTGCAGTGTTGGTAGGCCTTCGGAAATGTATATTCGCGAGTTGCAGCCGAACTGGCGATCTATTAAGAGGATTGAGTAATTTATGAGAGAAGTCAGAATACTGGGATTCACAAAGTGGGCAATCTGTCAACAGCGACGGGGAAAATGAATTGAACTGCAAAGTTGCCGTGGAGCCTATCGTGATGGCTATGCCACCATACCCTGCCTGCTGCAGCCTATGCGGCTGGAGCCTCGTTCATTTCCCACCTCGAACGCCATTATGGTAGTCCAGAGCAAAATCAAGCACTTTGCTTGTAGTGTTGAATGAGTTCATACAGAAAGATTGTTGTCAAATCATGTCAATAATTGAGAGTCAATTAGCGATCGCTAATTCAGAGTTCGGAACCTTATCTTCGTGGTACTTGGATCCTGCTGACAGGACGGCAGAAAACCCCAGGTAATTGATTAAAGCTCCATCCATTCTCCACTCCAGATTGCTAATCGCTCTCGAGTTTTTAGCTTCGACCCAACGAGAGAGCTATTTAATGAAGCTCTCAATCTGTTCAAGACGGAGCTTTCTAAAGACCCATCCAATTACAATGGCTCGTGGACAGCAAAGCGGGGAATCTTTCCGAAATTCTATTCTCCATAAATGCAGCCAAAACACAGCATGAAGAACGGAAGAATGGTTCTGTTATGCGAAAGTCTTTAACGAATCTTGCGGAAAAGATACATCACTATGGTAGTATAATGGACGTATTAGTCCAACATCACCCGGAGTATGCTTCGCTAGCATGGGGTGTTATGAAAGTTTTGTTTGTGGTATGTTGAGCATATAGTTGATCTTGGAGATTTTCAAGTGACTGATGATTATACTACTATCGCTTAGGGTGTTGTAAACCACGAAAAACTATTGTCCCTGCTTTCACAGGGATTATGCTAAATCTCTGATGTCCTTCCCAGGCTGGAGTTGACTGTGCAACTATTCCCCAATAGAGCTATAAGGGCTGATGTTGTCTCTACGTATGCATACATTCTCAAATTCCTCATTAGAGCTCTGCGCTGGTTCAAGGAAAGTAGATTATCACATGCCATACACTCTATCACCCGACCCTCTGAGCTCCGTTACGATGATCTCATCGAAAAGATCCAATATTTGTCTCGGAACATTGCCGAGCTAGCTGCAGCGAGCAGTCAAGCAGAGCTGCGTAATATGCATATCTTGCAACAGAAATTTATATCTAATCAGGTTGGATTTCAAAATGAGCAACGTCAATTCCAAGCCACTCAGATGGAGTTTAGCACTGAAATACGGAACGAGCTCCTCGGACGAGATTCCGTCGAAAGCAAACTCAATTTCCTCAGCAATGCAATGGTAGAGCTACGGGAATTGATGGTCGCTCAACAAGTCTTGCACTCTTCTGCTGAAATCACCATTAAGCATGAAGTTCCACAGGCCCAACTCGCAGAAATCCTCCCCATTTTAATTAGCAGCAACAACAGGTCGCTACCAGACCCTGAAGCAGTCTTTCAATCCTCGCTTATACTCAGGAACCAACGCCGTCGACGCAAAGCTACCAGTGGTCCCCCCTTCTGGCTCCAACCAAAAATACAATCATGGAATCAGTCGCAAACATCATCGCTCATCATGGTAAAGGGGACACGAAAATCTCGCTTCCATCTCAAAAACTTCCTCACCGACTCAATATCACAACTTCTGGATCGAAGTATACCAGTAATTTGGACGATAACAGCAGGCCTCAGATATCACGATGATACTCTGCACTTTACTACCATTGATCTTTTAAAGTGTGTCATCTCCCAAGCAATCACGCTCAACCCATCACTCCACAACGATGCCTTCCTCTCCCAGCACATTGAACGCGATTGTGATGCAGTCCGTGAAGCCGATTACTTTGATATTCTCGCTTCGATCGTGCAATCAATACCGCTGCTATACATCTTTATGGATATTGAACTCATCTCTTTCTCACCCGCTCATTCTGAGGCAGCAGACTTCACGATCCCGAAAAACTTCCTAGAATTGTTCTCGGAATTAAAGAGAAGGGGGATCAATACCGTGATCAAAGTTAATTTCGTGAGTTATGGATCTTCCGTATTTGTGGAATTGCCCCGTATTGAGGAAAGACAACTTGTTGTACCTTTGGCAAATACTTCAAAGAAAGCCACTAAGAGACTCGCAACACGGAATAAAAATAGCATAGGGGGGCGGTTAGGCAAAAGAGGGGGATCTATGGTTTTTGTGGGCTGATCTCAGAAACGACGGAACCAAGGTTGGTTGGGACAATATCTATAAATGGATGCCATGGATAATCAGATAATGAATAATTGACATTTTCAAATATTTTGTGACCATCAGGTATCTGAATTTGTAATAAAACACTGGTAAAGAAATCTTGCAGCATCATCCATCCCCGTTGGAGAATGAAACCAATGTCCTCCATCCGGATAATTCCTTCCACGTAAATTTTGAACCTTTGCTCAAAACGCTATCAATAAAGCCTCAACTCTCTTCCATTCTCCACAAAAGCAACGGGATCATCAACAAAATACTCTAGTAAGATAGGCGTATTCCGAATAACTCAATCTGCCTCCAGTATCCCGTTCAAACTCAAACCCTTCCTAATCTTAACCACCGATTTCCCAGGGAACGATATTCTACAACAAACCCCAAGAACCGCACCGAGTCTCTAACTAGGTGGGAGATCCAAAGTCAACAACGTGTGTCCACTTGTCACAGCCCCCTGACTAATACCCCCTGACTAAGACCCCCTAAAACAACTTTCCCCCACCGATTATCCAGAATCGTAGTTTCTGCGGCTAAGGAAGTTTGTATATAGGCAACGCTGTCTTTTTGATCGATGGCTTGGTGATCGTCGTAGTCTGAGATGCTTGCCACGTCCCAGATGTCGAGCCATTGGGTTTTCTTCTCAGGCGGAGCCGCGGAAAGGCGGCGCATGGGAGGAGAGGAGCTTGTGGGAATACCCACCGAAATGAGGGAAATATTTCGAAGATGGTAAGATTATCTGGATTCTTCGCATAGCAAAGAGGCCAGGAGAACTTCGGGGCTTTGTTAGCTCGGCAGCGTAGAAAAAACAGCGGTTTGAGTGTGGGGTCCTGTAGCATGGATTCCGAGAGGTAGAAATTGTGATGCTTTTTCGTATATGATTTTGGGTATTTGTAAGAAGTTTAACTAAGTTTCTGAGGAAAGCCTAAGCTGAATAAATGGTGTTAATAAGGTATCGACTTTGTGTGTTGGATAAGAGTTGGACCTGATGGCTACCTAGAACTTGACAAGTTGATAGGGGCAAATAGGTCAAAGATAACCGAAGGAAGTCCAAAGGACTCGTTCAAGAACAGAACTATCCATGCTCAAATCGTAAGTCGTATGAGTCTCCATATCCCTTTACGAAAAAATGTTTTGGTAGTCACGAGTACTGACATCTGAATGAGCAGTAGCTTTCGGTTAATGGGTTCCCCCGATATTAGTCATGCCGGCTGTTTTCAAGGCGGAATAAGCAAATAACACAGCCCCTCAATTATCCCTGTGAATCACTCGTTAGCGCCTGTCATGGATCACACCTCTCTTTCACTGCCCCCCTCGTGTACCTATCTATCGCCAACCAACCCACCAACCAACTTCATCAAATTACTTTGACAGTCTGAGTTGTTTCCAACCAACTTGAAACTTTCGCCATCACAAAGAAACTGTTGCGATTTCTTTGGCATAAATATTGCCTTGCATATCCCGCTGGGCGCATCCAGCTCAGCCCTATCGCAAATCGCGTTCCCAGCCCCTTTTTTTTCTGAGGCAGAAACAACTAGAACTCACACCAATCTCTTCGAGGTACCGGAGAATCTCAAGAATATATCACCTTCATATCACATCGATCACCTTTTGGGATGGAATCTGGAAACGATAGCGCCCTCAACTCAGATTCAAAAGAGCGAGCAAACACCTTCCCTCATCACGTGGCCGGTTCAGCTGAACTTCCCCGAAGTCGGTCCTCAATATCCGCTTTCTGGATAAGATTCACTCTGTGGTGGAGTTTGTTCTGGCAAAAAATGGTATCAAAAACCAGGAATTCCAATTATGAAGATGGAAAGAGGAAGAAGGGAAGAAATGACATGGTGGGGAAGCGAAGGAATGACTTAATTCCGAAGGAAAGAAATGGTGTCAGCCTGACCGGTGACGAGAGGCAACCCTATGAGATACTTCTCGATGTTGTTGAGAAACGCCGCCAATCTGGCATTCCAAAACCTCGGGTGCTTGTCATTACAGATTTGGCGAAGGACTATGACGATTTGGCTGCTATGGTCATTTTGAAAGAGCTGCATTGCCTTGGTGTCATCGAGCTGCTAGGTTTCATCGCCAATCTTCAGCCCGAGGAGAAACGTGCTCGATTCGGAAGAGGTGCTTTAGATCATCTAGATTTGAAAGATATTCTTATAGCAACAGGGACTTCTGGCTATCCACACGAGACAGGCAATCACAAAGAAGAAACTTACGAATTCGACTGTCCCTTCATGGCAGACAAGAATGACCCACGACTCAGAAACGATTCATTGCATCCGCTCACAGGCAATGATTTGCTTACGAAGTTTTGTGAAGACGCCGCCAAAACGGGCCAGAAGTTGACACTTTTGCTCATATCTTCCTTGGAAGATATCCACACTTTCTCAATCAGCAGCAAACTGCTAATGCAGAAGTCAATTTCCAACATTGTCCTCCAAGGCGGCTATCGGATCACTCCAGAAGGGCAGCTTGAAGCACTTACAGAAGCTAACAATAATCGATATGATCTAGAAGCCGCTAAGAACTTTCATGCTCTTATGCAAGAGCTGCAGATCAATTCGACTGTTTATACTAGAGTCGCAGCAGTTGCTGCTACCATGGAACCCGAAATCTTCGCTGAACTAGCGAAGACAGGGAATGAGGTCGGAAAGCATCTTTGGAACGTACAGAAGGCCCAAGATCTTTCATTCTACAGAAATGCCTCCCACGAAGATCCCGCAAAACGCTTCCGCCCAGACAGGGATAGAGAATATTTCTTGAGAACTAGAACAAATTGGTACGAAACTCACTCCGATACCGACCCAAGGCCTGAGGGCGGGGAAATTTCAGAATTCACCAAAGTCGTAGTTTACGATGCTTTGGCGGCCATAGGGGTCTCTGGAGAAGATACACTCAAAGCTCTCAACGTTCTCAATATCCGACCTGATTTTACAGCCACTGATTCTGAAGACGTGAAAGATCTAAAAAGAAGGCACCAGGTAGTTGGATACGAGAAGAAGAAAATGGTGGATGGGAAAGAAGTACCCGATTGTGATGTTCCTGGCATCAATGTCCAACAAATGGTTACTACACTCAAAGCCTTTCTGAAAGGTTCTCTTATCTCTACCCCTCCATTGGAAATAAAGCAAAGCGATAAATTCTCTGGAGCTCCGGATACACATCCGGGTTGAAAGCAGTATTTCAAAGTGTATTATGGGGACTCGGGCCAAAATCAGTCAACAGATCAACACATTGAAAGCCATTTCAGAAGCGGCTACATGTATGGTAGTACGGTCACGATATCACATAGGCAGCAACTTGGTATTCTCGCGAGCCCGATAAGTTGTCAGCGGGGTAGACATTTCGAAAGCCGGGGCATCAGGCTTGAGGACGCGGCCTCGGACGCAGTATATGCAGCTGTGCAGATTCAAGGTGGGTGGGCAAATAAGCTTGGCTGTTAGAGCAGCAGTCCTCTGTTTCTTTACTCGCAGGAAAGGTTGTTTCGCAGAGTTACTCTGCAGAGACGGAAGGCCGCAGGGAGGCAGCCCGCATCGGTGGCTATATGACTGGTTACGAAATTTCCTTTACCATTTATTACTACGGTATTATGCTTTTTATGTATTATATATTATTCTTCCACGATGGGGTTTCCGATGCAATACACTGCAATACAACAGCTTTTCTTGGACGCTATTCGAGTTACAACATCTTTCGACACTTGCACGAACACCGGATTTCCTGACCGAAGAAACAGAACATCCCAGTAAGCCAAAGCCAAAGCAAATTGGTAGGATGTTATTGTCACGATATTTTCACGTGTTTGATCACGTGATATCTAAGGCTAGCTCGAGGCTAGGTATATACATGCCTAGATTCTACGTAACCGACAGACAATCAATCATCTACTACTACTTTTGTACTCGTTGTCGTCTACTTTTGTTACTGTTTCATACCGATAATGGCATCTCCTACATGCCCGCCCTTATTATCCCACCAAGTTATACCACCAGTTATGTTTCTCAACAAACACTCCCCAGCACAAGCCAACAAGCCAGCACAAGAAGCAATAATGTGTACTGCGCTGACAGCACAGCAAAATCAATATCAGGCTGTTGTGCGAGGTTCTGTAGGACTTTCAGCCCCCAACTGCACCTGCAAGGATCTTCGCCCCCCTCGACAATTCGGGTCTAGAGCGGTTACCAGCATTGAAAAAACCCCGCCACCTCCAGCGGCAAATCCAAATGCTACCTTTTAAAAGTCCACATCGCTCTCAGGAGAAAGTGGATAGGGGGCGCTGGGTTGACATCGTACCTATACTTTATTCGTTCTTGACCAATCTCTTGTTCTTTTGTTGTCTATATAATCATGACTGGAGCCAAGAATCACGGGGTGGTGAGGGAGCTTAAGGCTCCTTCTCCATCTACGGCAGAGGGTAGCGAGAATGCTTCAATTGCGGCATCGAACTTTTGTCGTCAAGAATCTCCCTATACAACCGAGGAGACAAAATTGAAAAAGGATGATGAGCCGCAGCCAAATATTCTTCCTCACAAAATGAAGGATCCGTACAACATTGGCGGGATCTATCACGACAAAATCTATAGGTCTGTATGGAAAGTTGAGTCGTAAGTAACGGATAAATGACGTGTTATAAATGCTTTCAATTGACATTGAATAGCCCTGGGCCCTATCTAAGCTATATAAAGAAGCTCTCGAAAGGCTGGCCGCATTTGGAGTGGCTCGCAGATTACATGGAAGTGGGAACAACGCCTGTGAAATGGAGATATCTCACAAAAGAGCATATTGAAGAGCGAGTGGAGAGAACGAGAGTTGCTGTCCTCGAATTCTCACAATCAGGGGACCCGCTAGTAAGAGAAGACATTCATAACAGTCAAGAGCTTCGACAACGACTATACGGACAGCGACCAGGGCAAACTAACCTGGAAGCTGATCCAGCGTACGCTCGTTTATTCATCGTCGAGGACCTGTCACGGGATGTCATTGAAGCTCTTGGTGCCAAGTATGACATTGACCCTCTATACTTCCGGAGCCAGATCAGCGATTTTCTATGGTATAAGACAAAGGACCCGTGGGTTGAGCTGCAAGACCTTCCTCATATTGCAGCCGAGAGGAACTACTACAATGTCAGGTACATGTCAGCAAGATACTTCGAAACGGAGAAGGCTATTGAAGATGGTAAGGAGCAGCTTGGTCACTTTAATGTCTTGAGACGGTTGGAAGAAGACTTGAGCTGGCATGTTCGAGAATTGAGGAAGCCGAACGGCCCAACTGTTGGTGTATTACGAAGTAAAACCGCACTTTGGATTCGCAAGAACAAGACCGCGGGGGAAGGAGTTATAGGTATGAGTTCCTGAGTCTACCTGTACCATTCTAGCTAAAAGTCATAGGAATACTCGTCGTTGATCCAGAGCTTTCCGCTGGATATCCACTTTGGGGTGGTCCAAGAAATTTGCAACCTTGTCCCAGCATGAACGAGGATATTTCCCAATTGAAGCATCCTCAATCACTTTTCGAAGAACTCTGCCATTACGCCAAAATCATGACCCCCGAAGAAGTGAGTTTCATCGCAGAGGTACCTCGCACCCTTGGCCTACCAATCCTCAGTCTCGTGGCAGCAGAATGGATGTCAGTAGTAAGCTACATCATTACTGGTCTCACAAATATAGAATGGGAACTCGAGCATCCTTACTACCGTAAAGCTTCTGACGGTCTAACTGGCCTCCTCGACCGTCTTCATCCTCTCCGTCGTCTTATCCCAGTGTACAGAATGATGATCTGCGAAACTTTGAATACAATTCTCAACAAGGATTCCTTACCAAAAGCAAACGATAACCCGGCTAGCACCCATCTCGGAAAACTTCGTTCTGATTTCGAAACCATCCTCCAATCTATTGAACACCTCCAAACCAGAACACAAAACATCATTTCGCTCGCCACAACCATTATCGGTGTCGAGGAAAATCAACGTGCCATGAAAATGAACAAGAATCTCGTTCGTGTCACCTACCTGGCCGTTATATTCGCACCCATGGCGTTTATATCTTCCTTCTTCAGCATGACGCCTGATCTGGGAACTTTGAAGGAGACGTTTTGGATCTATGTCGCGGTTGCGCTGCCAGTCACGGTTACGTGCTTGATTATTGCGGATCATAATAGATTACTTAAACACGGTAAAAGGTTTTTGGGAATCGAGAATAAGGAAAAGAGGAATGAGGAAGGGAATGAGAAGAAACGAGTATCATGAATTTCATTGTGGCGGCCGCTTTGTTTTCTTCTTGGATTGCTGGAATTGTCTTGGGATATCCGGGGTGTACATATATAGAGGGGTTAGAGGTATAGTGAGCGCTTGGTTTTATTTTCCTCGTTCTGTGTTTGGGATCAAGATCTTGGGTGGGTTGAAAATTAGATAGGTAGAAAATAGGTAATGATATGACGCGGCCGATCTGACTGAATTGTTACGTGTCTTTGCAGAAATTGCGGGTTTCTTTACAACAATACAATTATGAATTTTTGGCTTTTTATTCTTCAAAAAAGCCATAGGCTTCACGCTCCAATGTACTCTTACCAGCTGTGTGAATCTTCAAAAAGTACCTCAGAGAAAAACGCACGTTTCTACAACCGTTCTGCAACGGTTCTAGTACGGTTGTGAAAATCTCACGGCGGTTGCGACTTCCTACAACAGTAGTGCTATGGATTTTGAAGTGGAGGGTTTTCTCTAAAAGTAGTTAGTTGTCTTTCCCTCTCCGGCTCTTTTTGTGACGACAGATGTTTATAGCCACCTAGAAAGGTGCACATCAGTTTTTATCATTACATAGGAAAACAATACAGTCCGGAAGTTCTTACGTTAAAATAAATCGATATTAATAATTATAGTAACCTTCATATCCGGACCGTACCTAGGTAAGCATTATCTGAGCATTAACCTCACTTAACAACACTACTCGAAACAAAGACCAGAGTAAATTCAGCAAAAGGGTGAAATCTAGTATCATATACTTTGTACTTGAACGAATGTTCAAATAATCTAGAATCAATATTTGCATGTCTCTACGACTTTTAGTAGACATGCTTTTCTACTTCTCTTAGAGGGATGCTTCTAGAGTTGGCTCATAGTGTTGTAAGTTGCAAAGTATAAAGAGAAGCGCGCTTACGGAGAGTGTTAATATTACCGTTTTTATAGATAGTATATGTTTTGAATGGATTGCTTAATAGCTTGATAGTAAGAAGGGGTTGTTAATACTGATAAGTTCTTCAGCTATACCTACTACTTACTATAATAAGCACAAGTACAAAATACTAGCGAGGAAATAGCATTAGTATCAACACCCCTCCACCCTTAAACACACCATTTATTTACCACCTTACCACCGACCGATCACATCTTTACAGCAAATACACCAACTAAAAGACACGTAACCTAGGTTTCTTTATTACTCACTACAGCGCAAACGGAGTCGGAATCACTAACAATTTCGCATTCGAGGAAGGAGACTTACATAGCGTTATTTTAAGTACCTGGTATTTGGTTTGTGAGTGATCTCTTGCCTTTTGCTTCTCTGAATCACTTTTTAAGGTTTTAAGATGAATGGGGTTTGTTAGTATAGGTATGAACCTATGTTGAGTTATTGTAAGGTACTATATTGAATCATGGACTTGCTGGAAACACACACATACTCGAATCACGTACTTGGAACTTGCTCAGATCACACACTCACTCGAATTACACACTTGCTGAATCACGCCCTTACAAGAATCGCATACTTCCAAAACTTCCCAAAATACACTCACTCGAATTACACACTCACTCGGATTACATACTTGCAGAATCACGTACTTTCTCGAATAAGTTGCTTCCAAGGTTACCCAAATCACACACTTTTTGAATCACACACTCCCTGAATCACACACTCACCGAACCACGTCCTTGCCTGGAAGGGGGCAAACAGAGAGAAGGAAGGACATAGTTACTTACAGTAGAAGTATACTTTAGGAATAGTACCTACCTATAGGAAAGGACAGGTAGCCACCTATGATCAAGCAAATATAGAAGGTAGGAACTCAGGGAGGTAGGGAAATATATACGTACTTTCCCATTCCCACAGATCTTACAATCCAGTGAAACGACTCCAAGTGTACATGCGATACTCTTTTCCTCAAACTCTTTCTATTTTAAACTCATAGCAAAACTGTGGCTCTATCTACCCACTTCCCACCAACCCCAAAAAGAAGATTTTGCGCGCCCTCCAAAGTACCCATCTACCCACCTACCCACCCCCCTTCCTCCCCT